CCCAAGGACGAGCCAAAACTTCCACCATGGGTGGCTGTCCTGGTCCCTGTTGGTGTGGGACAGCTGTGAGCCAGGGCAGGACCTCACTGGTTTGCATCCTCCACATCACATTCCTCACAGGAACACCATCGGGGAGCTTTGTGGGATCGTGAATATGAATTGCTTTGACCTCACTTAGTCTGATATGGTAGAGTATTAAATCTCTATTTTTCAAGCATTAAGCCTGTGTAATAGAAGGATGCTGAGAGCAATTTGCAGTAAGATGAAGGGATATTACTGTCCTGGGAGACAGACAATCCAACTACATCCACAAATTGATAACACAGATAGTGGCTTAGGTTCATGCTAGCTATTAATTAAGGGCATGTTTTATGTGGAAGACAATACCAGCTTACACTGGCAGGTACTCGCTGACCTCCTCTCCCCTGCAGTGAGCGGCGCTCCCGGAGCTGGAGCGCAGCCAGGTGGGTTCATACCTTGCTGAACCACAGTTCACACGTGTGCATTTGAATCTCTGACAGGAAAAATTAATTTCTCAAGCCTTTAGCATTCACAGCTCCAAGAGCTGTTCTGGCTGAGGAGCTGTGGCTCTGGGAGCAGTGTGCTAGCCCTTCTTGCAGGGACACTCAGAGGCTTGGCCAGCCCAGGGTGCTGAGAGCTCTCACGTCTCTGGCTGCTAATGAGCACTAACCATGTCCCAAGCTCTTCCTCTGCCCTCAGAACTCACTGCCTCGTTAGCTGGCTGATGCACAGCCCTTAGCAAAGAATTCCAATACCAGCTTTCACTTCTCTCATCTTGGCTGTGGCAACATCCCACTCAGCTGTTACCCCTCTCCTACTTGGTGCTCTCAGTAGGCTCTTCCTAGCCCCTGTGGCAGGACTCTCATCTCACATCCACTGATTAACTTAGGATGATTGCACAGCCACTAATTTTGTCCAAATTACCAACAGAACATTATCCTTTTACAATCTTTTGCTCCTTGCCCTAGAATTTAGCAGCAAGCCTGCATCATGCCCTGACAGCTGCCTCCCGTGCTGGCACAAAAGACCCACAACGGCTTCAGCCTCGCTCAGAAAACCCTCTCCCCAGCCTCAGACAGGTTTCCTGAGCAGGGCAAGCCCATGCAGGGACACTCATCCTTGGAAGTTCACAGCCACCCATGGCACAAGGTGAAACATTACAGAGGGCAAGAAGCAAGAGACCCCAGCCAGTATCCCCGGAGCCTGTCCTGCTGATGGAGCCAAGGCACATGGCATATCCAGGGCACCAGCAGTGCCACAGTGTCCAAGTGCTCTTGTGGAGAGGGCCTTCCCAGCAGGAATCTGCAAAGCCAAAGAATGCAGGTCAGCCATGGAGGTATGTATGTAATACTTGAGAAAGCAACAAGACAGTCATGTGTCATGAATAAATTAAAGCATCCCTTTCTATGGACAGACCCCTATGGACAAGAACACAACAAGGGAGCTGGTCTGGGGAGAAAAAAGAAGTTTCTTTTATTTCATATGGGACTAGAGAACAGCTGGAGAATTGACGAGGTGGCAAGGACAGGAGGTGGCTCCAGGCTCCTGCCAACACATTAGAGCCCCTGTGCTGGGCCACAGGCAGGTCACACATACTTTTCTGGAAAACTGCATTCAGAGATGGGGCAACTCTTGGCAGGAAGCATCAAGCCTTACATACCATGACAGCTCCCTTCAGGCTCTCCTGATAAAGTGTCTCATGGCCACTGGTTCCCAGAGACACCTGTCACACCTAGGGTTTGTCCATGAGTTGGACAGGAGCAGACCTGCTCAGACCTCCCCAGCTGAGCAGAGCAAGGACAGGCAGGGACCTGGGTAGGGGCTGTTGGAGAGGGATACACTGGTGAAGGGTGAGAAATGGAGAAATGAACAAAACAAAGGGAAAGAAGGACAAGCTGGAAGTCAGGCCACTGAGGATGAAAGGAACCACCCTCGTAGTGGGAGAGTTCACAGCTGCAGACATATCTGGCCACAGGTTCACCCTGTCTCCTTTAAAAGCTCGATGCAAATGTCCTTATGAAACCAAAAGCTGTCCTGGGCTGTAGTGACCCTCTGCCCAGCAAGTGTGGGAGGGTGCATGCCCTCACACACCTGGCACCTGTAGCCACATCCCCACGTACCCTGGAGCCAGGATCTGTACTGTGCCCAGCACCCCAGGCTGCCTGCTGCAACCCAGCTGCATGTCTGATCAGGGGTGAGAAATTTCTCTTTATACCGGGCTGTCTATTCAAGTCATAAAAATAGGCTTTTTTTCCTTCTGTAAGTGCAACACTTTTCATATTTTTACTTCCAGCTGTCTAGATAGTATTTCACTTTTTTTCATTTCTAGTACTCGCTCTCAGTTATTTAATGTGAATTTCTAGGGCATGGTGCCCTTAGCAGACATCAGAGCAATATAACACAAGAAATCAGATATACACTGTTCTAGGAGAAGGCAGGAACAAAAAGACAAACTAGGCTCTTAATACATATGGTGCTTTTGATTCATGGAATATAGAAAATTGTATTTGATTATATCTGTAATGGATCCTCATAACTTTAGATTAGGGTTATGCTGATGGCCCAACTAATGGACAGTTTATTGCAGGAATAGATTTCATCCTATCATATTTTTTCCTGGTATCAATTACTTATAATGTTTAAATGTTTCATTTCTGTGGATGTTTATTGCTTAATTTTCCTTTCTAAGAAAAGCCTACACACACACAATGCCTTGGTGCTCCTCTTCTAAGGGGCAAGGAACTACAGGGCTGTGTTTCTGGAGCCCAGAAACTCCCATCATCTCTGGATGCACAGGCCAGGAGATCCATAGCTGCTGGCACCACCGTGATCCTAAGCTGTGAGGGAGCACAGCCAAAGTTCCCTTAGCAGAGATGTGATGTTATTGGGGAAAAAATTAAAATTAAAATAATTATTTATTTAAAATAGTTATTTAAATTAACCTGTCTCAAAAGCCAAAGGACTGTGTGGGATTGCTGCCACAAAGTCAACAGCAGAGCTGATGATAAGAGAGGATGGAAGTAAAGATGGTTTGGTGAAGAGAATTGCATTTGCAGTCAGCTGAAATGGTAATACTATTAATAAAAACAGTAATAATAAAAAATAGTATTTCAACAATTATTAAATAATAATATTATGAAACCCTGAAGATAAATGCTTGTTTCCCAGTAAAGAGTTTAGGAGGCTGTTGAGGCACCAGAGATGCTACTTAGTGATCCCAGAGACAGAAGGCAAAGTGGCTAATGGATTTTTTTTTTTTTTTTTTTTTTTAACTTTGCCAAGCTGTAACCACACCTGAAATCCTACCCAAAGAAAACCCCTGAAACAAACAAACAAAAACCCCCAACGAAATATAAAACCCCCCAAAACATAAAAAACTTCTAAGCAAAGAACAGTAACAGAAAGATCCCAAACTAGAAAAAAAAAAACCCAACAAACCAAATAACAACAATGAAAGCAGAAACAAACAACCCCCCAAAAAAACCCCAAATCCCAACAAAACAAACTTGCAGAGAAACATACCACCTTTGTCCCACTTTAAATACAGCTGCTTAGACACCAGTGACTTCAGAATGGTCTCTGCTATTTACACAAGCATGCCTTGCTGCACTCCAGAATTGACACCTGGCAGCCAAAGCAGGGCCACGAGTTTGATCTCCCTGAAGAGCAGCAATCCAGGACCAGGAACAGCTCTGAGCATCGCGGGCACCTGTCAGGGCCATTGGCATCAGCAAGGAGCACTAGCTGCACGTCCCAAAGGGTGCCCAGCACTGGGAATTTGTACTTTTGTTTTAATCTTTAGCTGAACTCTTCCATTTGCCCTGCATGCTGAGAGGGGAGGGTGCTGGGGCTCTTCTGGCCCAGTGCATTTTGCTGTCACAGTCCCTTCTCAGGGAAGAAAGAGCCTGGCAGCAGGGACACAAGATGGTCCTGTCAAGAAGGGCACGGTGGCACGTTGGTCACAGCAATTTCCTGTTGTGAGGTGGGATCGTTGCATCCTGCTCCTGCCTTTTCCTGGAGCCGTTTCTCCCACGCTCAGTGGAAGCCCCAGGCCGAGTTGCAGCCCCCCCTCCACAGGGGCAGCCTGAGCATGCAGGCTGCTCAAGGACACGGGGAAGAGAGGGGACGTCGATGGGGACAGTCCCTCGCAGGGCTGGCAGCTCGCGAATGCCAAGCCACCTCAGTTCACTCGGCACACTCATTCTCATACAGGTGGCATGTTATCACCACTTCAAGAGGAGAGCTGGCTCCACTTATTTTTTTTCATTAAAATGCAAATTAATTTAATAAAAAGTGGAATTGTAAATTAATGAAGCGCTTTAAAATTCTACATAATACAAGGCTAATACTCTATAGTATTTCCTCCAGTTAATACCACTACCAACTCCCCCAAGTGGCACCAGCTCCCCCAGTCTCACTGACTGAGATGGGCCCAGAGCTTGCAGAAATAGGCACAATGCCTTATTACAGTTTCTGGGGCAGTTCCCAGGCTCTCTCGTCCTCAGGAACCTCAGCAGTACCTGCCTGCACCCTCAGGGCCAAAGCACTCGAGAGCAGAGATTCTGCCTTTCCTCTAGAAATAGCAATGGATCCCCGTAATTTACTGCAGCCCAACAGTTCCCATGGAGATTGAAGGGGCTGCTGCCCAAACCAGCCCTAGACGAGCTCTGGTCATGTCAGCTGTGACAACAATCAGGGCTGCCTCGGGTGCTGAGCTCCCACGGAAGCTTTAGGCATATTTGAATTTAAGAAAGACTCTCCATTCACATGTGGTTTTTTTCTTTATTTTTACCCCGACACAAAAAGTCAGACTGGGGTATTGGCTCCAAAGCCAACCCGCTGTGGGGGCAGCTCCGCACACAGGGCTGCAGCCACCGCGCTCACGAGCAGCTCGGCTGCTGCACACATCCCCCCACATCTGGCTGGGCTCTCAGCAGCCCCTCTACCCCCACCACTGCTGCCCCTTCACTGCAGGAGGGAGCAGAGAGACAGAAGGCACCCAGGCAAGGCTGGCAGGGGGCAGTTATTGCTCAGGACCACCTGTCTTCAGGGCAAACCTGGCTCAGGAAAACAAAACATTACCTTGAACACACATGAGCAAGGTTTGTCCCCTACATCTTCCCTTTCTAACGTCTACTTGCATGGAAACACTGTAGGAGATCCATCCTTAGAAAATTTATCCTTAAAATAAAGTGGAACCAGAGAAGCACACTAGGAAAATATTGGTCTAAATGAATGAGGTATTTCCAACAGGATCTATCCCTTCTGACTTACAGCTCCACATCTGAGATCATCACCTTCTGCTTATTTTATAGCAAAAGGAAAGAAAAGGCAATTCTGAGAATAATTTAATTCCTCCCTGAAGTAAGTATCTCAAGTAGGTCGGTAAAACACCAAAACCCGCCCTTCCCTCTCTGGTGGTGATGAAGCATCCTGGAGCTGTGGCACTGCTCCATCCCGAGCTGGCCAGGAATACCTGCCTCCCTTGCTGCTGGCTCCGTGCTCAGCGGGCACGTTCTGTCCTGCCCTGTCCTGCCCTGCCCATTCCCATCCCATCCCACCCCATCCCCATCCCACCCCATCCCCATCCCATCCCATCCCATCCCCATCCCATCCCCA